ATGCTTGAAGTGAAGAGAAATTGGCTATAGCACTAAATATGCTGACTTTTCTGGGCCACACAGCAATTTATAGACAGTTTTGTGAGGCTCCAAGGACTCTTCTGACTTACTGTGGTCAGGGAGACCTTAGTACGGTCCATAAGCAGCCCCCAGGACTGCTGACGCTGCAGCCTGGAAACTGGCCTATGCCTCTGCACATGGCCTCAATGAAACCACCATGGCAGCAGCAATTTTTAAGACCCAGGAATACCACAATTCCTGCAAGTGCCTGTTAGGGAAAGGAAGAAGAAAGAATCAGTAATTCCTATTTTTTCCTCTCTCTCTCTCTGTCCTTGGTTCTTAGGTGAAAAATAATGTATGGATCTATAACCCTGGTTAAATGACAAACTTCTCATATTTTTGCTCAAAATGGGGCTCTGATGAATACTATTTCACCAGGTTTACCAGGCGAAAAAGGAGAAAAAGGCAATCCAGGCGTTGGAACACAAGGACCCCGAGGCCCACCAGGATCCACAGGTAAAGCCATCTAGATTAGCCCGCTCTTACTCATTGCAAAGCAGATAAGAACTTCATGACATTGTAATATGATATGAAATGGTGTCATCAGCCGCACTAGTATTTCCTGTTTTCCAGCAGAAATTGCTTCTTGAAAAACTTGTTTAAAGAACTTTTTTTTTTTTTTTCCCCCCCACTAGAGATGGGATCTGACAGGGAAAACCATTTGTTTTCTTACTGACTCAGGACCATATCTAACTGCAACTTGACAAGAGAAATGTGTATTAAGCACATTAATCAAAGGGCTTTATACTTAGTTCCTGGAAAAATACAGAAGGTGAAATCCAGGTCCTGTTGAAACAGATGAAAAAAATGTTTTGATTAGGTTAGGAAGGATGGTCTTTCTGTCTGAGCGCAGGTATGGAGGCCCAGCACTACCCAGATGCTGCATTGCAAGGGAGCAGGTAGAGAGGAGAGCTGCTTCAGGAGCCAGGGCTGTCCTCCCCGGTAAAACTGCCTTTCCAAATGCCTGACACTTGGTGAAACATTTGCTCTTCGGAAATACTAGTATAAATTTCTGGCTGAAAGCTGTGCTGGCAAGGAAGCCGCAGCTTCAGCCAGAGAGGAGGTGAAGCCTGTCAAGATGGGGGAGTTGCTGCAGCTTTTCCCCTGGACGGCAGCTCCATCCCCTTGGCTAAGCCACCGTCTCCTGCAACGCTCTCCGTGCCACGGTCTCCTAGCACCAGGCACTGCCAAGGAGTCTGAACTTGGGCGTTTTATGAGCGATGCTGATCACGTTTCGTCCCTGTTTCATGCAGGGCCTCCAGGTGAAAGTCGCACGGGCAGCCCGGGCCCACCAGGCTCCCCAGGCCCGCGAGGCCCGGCTGGTCACACGGGGCCACCGGGCTCCCAGGGTCCCTCCGGCCCCCCGGGCTACTGCGACCCCTCGTCCTGCGCCGGCTACGGTGAGTAGTCACGACCGCCTACCCCAGTGTTTTCAGAGGCGGGGGGTAGCGAGGAACTGTAGCACTTCTTCTAACAGCCAAAGTGAGCTGGAGGCTACTGATAAACGTTGCAGTAAAATGGGGTAGCCCCTTGAAAACACCTGTGAGTCCAACTGTTTTTGTACAACTGCACCAAGAGCAGAGCGTTGAGCACAGTGCAGTGACCAGAGAAAGTCCACCATCTAATTCAGGCCTGTAAAAGGGACCAAGCGCACTGGGTGTTTGTCCTGTACGTGTTTGTGTGATTGTATGAGCCTGCTTCATCTGACTCTTCTGTGTGTTGAGTTCCTATCTCCTAATATTCATGACAGCAGAGTTTTTACATTTGTAGCTTTTAAAACACATTGCTCAACTTCCTCTTCCATGTGCCTCTGTATAGCATGAGAGCATGACCGTTACTAAACCAGGACAGGGTAACCACCAACGAGGATGCACGTGTGTTGTCATTAACAATTGAAACAACCTGGAGAAAATGATTCTTTCTCAATCTTTTCTGTATCTTACTCTTCTTTGCTGTTATAGCACGGAGAGGCCATGGCGGGGGGAGCTAACACAATTAGCAAAAGCAATGTTGCCCAAGCTAAAATTTAAATTTGGTTTAGTAAAGCCCACTCCAAATGGGGTGCACAAGCCAGATTTGTTTGATGTTTACAGTTTAATCTGCCTGTGACCTGATTTGTATGTTTTACTTATGTGAATGTTTTTGTTGTCGTCTCTTCCTCTCCTTTTCTCCTCATTTCCCTTCCCTACTGTTCATTTTCCTGTTTTAAGGCCCAATCCCTTACAATGGCTACGAATCCAGAAGGTGAAAGGCTCATTCTGGTTCATTTCTCATTTGGCTGAAGGTCAGAAATGGATGCTGAACTGCTCTATGCTTTCCATCAACGATATTGACTACCACTAATGAACTTCTTAGCTGCTGTATATGCACCTAGCTTCCTTGCACTGCTAAAAATTATTGCCGGACACATTTTGCCCATTAATCATGTACTCGAGACCATAATTGGAATAAGCTAAAGCAGGCAGATTGTGCAGTGTATTAACGAGCACAGTATTACAACTGGACACATGTCAAATTCTGGTGGTGGTTTCCAACAAACTTGGCTGTCTGTCGGTGGGTTTCCAATTGCTCCAGCTTATTAATTTTGTTAAATGTTTTCACTGTTCCTTTTTGTGAATAAAGATGTGTATTTAATGAGATACATATATATTCTATATACATATATACATATATATATATATAAATGTCTATTTCCTAACGAGTGCTCTACTTTTCTACTCTCCTTCTCCCGTGTTAACCATGTGAATGCTCTTGGTGGTGGTGGGTTAAGGTGGATACGGTGAGCCAACAGATCAAGACATCCCCGTAGTGCAGTTGCCACATAACTCCTACCAAATCTATGACCCTGAGGACCTTTACGATGGTGAGCAACAGCCGTACGTAGTTCACGGGTCCTACCCCCTACCACCCCCTTACTCCCAGTCCTATCCATCACCTCATCTTGCTCAACCAGAGTTTACTCCTGTTCGAGAAGAGATGGAAGCCGCTGAACTGAGATCCCCAGGAATCAGTCGCTTCACAAGGAAGATATCCAAAAGAAGCATCGACACACCAATACACAAGAAGGCAACTGGAAAGAAAACCTCTTAATGAACTGTTAAAAAGGAAAACACCTTATGTGCATATGTTTGGCCTTTTGTCCAGGTGCCTTGCCTGTCATGGAAAATGTTTACAGGTTCTTATATAAATGGAAAAAAAAATGTACATGACCAGTTGACACAACAAATAATGGTAATTACCTTGCATGCCAGAAACTTAGTATGTTAGTGGGTTGGTGCTAGATGATCATGAAAGGTCATTTGTAGATCTTTCTCTGGATTACTGTTTGATACACTATTTGAACTGTGCCTAAAAATGCATCAGGATAGTTGGTGTACTTGGAACAATTCAGGAAAGTTAATGGTTTGTTATCTGTGATTTTGCAGCAGACTATGTTCTGTTAGTCTTTGATAAATTTGCTTCTAGCAGAATAACCCTACTAAATTCACCAGCGAGAAGAAGGCACAATCAGGATGTTTCCTTAAACCCAGCTATTACCCTTTTGCAACAAAGTCACATGTTAACGGAATTTTTTTTTTAACTCACATTATATAGAGACACAAGAATGTTCTGTGGGAACACACTGATAATTTATTGTGAACCTCTTTAATTTCTGTTTTGTATGCAAATAAAAGTGGCAAGCTTTTATACATTAACTGTATTCCACTGATTTTTAACTTGGAGCAAATGTATCCATCTTCAAGGAAGCATAATGTAAAGAGAAGAAAATAAGCTTTCCTTTTTCAGCACTTCTGGACAGCAGTTTTATTTTGAAAGGATATATGAAACCAGTTTCATCACTTAGCTGAAACAATGTGTGGCCTTAATTTTAAATTATATTGTGAACAGCTGAAAAGAGTGGATATGAAGCAAGTTAGCTGGATGTCACCTATGGATGTGACATCTTATCTACTGCATGCTAAAGTAGTAGTAGCAAAAGAGAGACATGATTAGTTGCAAAGGCAACTTGGAACACTGATTGATGGGGGAAAAATAACCGCTTAATGGCGAATACCAAGCAGTTATGTTGTTAAGATAAAGCAGGTAAATCCATGCAGTAACTCACATTTGAACAGCCCCCCGGGACTGATCACTGATTGGAACTGGTGTTAAGCCCGTCCTCAGCGTCACTAGAAAACCAGCCGCAGATCCACGTTGCTCGTGCCCAGCGCCGCTCAGGCGGCAGCGCCCTGTCCCGCTCCACGGCCGTGTCCCTTCCTATGCTCTAATTCTGCTTTTGCATTATTTCTACCATGCCTAATGCCCACCATTTTCTTGGAAGATGGCAAGAAAAGCTGGTGGAGGAACAGGTGGGAGGGAATATTACGTCGTCATCCTGACTTGTATCTGAAGTAGAAAAGGGCGGAAAAGCATAAAATCATCGACTGACATTCCGTACCATGACATATACACATATATTAAACCTTTCCTACATATAGGAAAGGTTTAATTAGGCGCCTTCTCCCAAGCAGTGGACACTTACTGAATGCTAATTCTGCTGGCAGTTTCCTTGCAGTTGTATAAATGAGATCATGAACATATTTTAGTAAATTAGCTTATTAAATAAAGCAGTATATATTGTCCAGCTGTAATTAGTTCAGCCTAACACCAACACACAGTGTACATTAAATATGATGTTAATGTTGCTTTTGCATGCTGAGAGAGAGCACACACCACCTTACTGACCTTATCGCTGCTTGTCTGCTTTGATGTCTCACGACCTACTCTCAAAAAGCTGCCAAGTTCAAGCTCTCTAACACCAGCCTTGTTTAATATATTCAGGCAGGCTATCATGTCTTCCCTCCCTTTCTTGCTCTTATTTTAATCTCTTGGAAGCAGCCTCTTGCTCATCATAAAACTATTAGCAAAATAACACGTTTCTGCTTGAGTTTGCAGTCCTGCACATAGTCTAACTTTTCAACTAAGATTAGACTGGTAGCAGTGGCAGAAGGAAAGACCCTGAAATTCTCAGCAAATAATTAAATTAATGGAGATGATACTGTATGCGAACTGTATGAGACTTAATGAACCCAAATAAACCTAGATAAACCATATATTCTAATGGGTGACCTAAAATGATGCATAAACACCAGCAAATTCAAGGTTAGATAGTTATATAGTGCACAACAAGGGAAAGCTTTTGAAGACAGTACCATTCAATCCCATCTGTTTAAGAGTACAGACTGAGCACTAAACACTCATTTTGTTTCCCTTTATACTACAGGAACACTCAGGTCTTCTGTTTACCCATCTAATGCACCCAAACGCCCATCTCACGAGTAGGGATTTCCAGCCCACAGAAGAGCCCTTTCAGGGAGGGTTTCTCCACTGCCTCAGACAACACCAATGTGGGGGTTACGTGAGCGCCAGGGCCTCGTCAGGCAGCACCAGCTGGTGCTACTGCAGGACAGGTCACCTCAGGAGCCCTCAAAGCAGCTGCTTGCTCAGAGCTTGATCCTGCTGCGCTGCGAATCCCCACCCGGATGGGGGCTGCACAACCTCTCTGGACAACCTGCTCCGCTGTCTCACTGTCCTCCAGGTGAAAAAGTTTCTCCTTATATCCAGCCCGAGACTCTCTTGTTTCCACTTGTCTCATTATCCCTCTTTCTCCCACCACACACCACTGTTTCCGCAGTGATCTTGCAGGTGTTGAAAGGCTGCTGTGAGGGCCCCCAAACTTTTGCTGTTCAGGCTGAATGTGAAAAGAATAAAAGATATTCTGCTTTTCACTCTTTTTTTGGACTGGAGGCATGAGTACTAAAAGAGTACATTATATTACTGTGTTTTAGCAGTGCATGCTGAAAGATGCCAAGAAATTAAAAAAAAAATCTTCCCAGAGCAAGTTCTCAAGAACACTGAAGTAAGAACATGAGCTATCAGTCAGCACAGCACAAGGAATAAAAGAACATGATTCTCTCCAAGGCCAAAACCTCTATCTGTTTGACATCCTGAGCTATTATGTAAAGAAAGAAACATAGTTTTCTCTCATTATCTGATTAGATACAGTGCCTTTGAGATACTCTTAAAATAACCCTCCCAAACCTGTATCTTTAACCAGATTATCCCCAGTTTACAGATACTGAAGCTTTGCATGTCTGTGTGTGTACACACATACACATCCCATACACAGAAATTTCTAGCATTAATACCAGTAAGTATTTCTAGCATTTCTAGTAAATATTAATCTAGGTAAGTATTAATCACTGGAGTTAATACAGAGTGCTTTGGATGGTCCTGGCAGGTTCAAGCTATGTGGGGGCACACATGTTCATATGTGTGCATGTGAGAAATGATGTATTTCTGTTTTCTGGAAGAACTAGATCAATGAAGTAAAATAAATTTTTAAATAACGTTTCTAAACCTGGGACATGTAATTTAGATTCAGAGACATATGAAAATAAACACAGATTATTAATTTATCTGCTTGCACTTGGCTGTGAACACCCAAGTGAACATGAACGCGAACACTCACAAAAAACTCCGTGCTTTGGGGGAAAACACCCCAATTCCTTGTACCACGCCCTTCCACAGCCTCCCACAGAGGGTGAAAATTTGTGAGGTCTTTGCAACAAACTCTGAGGACACTGGTGGAAAATCAGCATTCAAGCAATTCTGCCAGTTGTTCAGAAAGACTTTGAGACTCAGGTGAAGTTGTAATTTGCAGCCTAGACTGATCATTAAGCAACACCATACCCAAATCCGAGCTCCTGTTGGGCTAGTTTGAACAGAAAAGAAAGGAGATATTGATAGAGAAGATAATGTAGATGTATTCAAATGCTACATAATAAGTCAATTCATTGGTATTGTTCACTTCACATTTCAAATGAAAAGTAACAGCCTGGAATCACAGTTAAACAAAAGTCACATCAGGCAATAAGATAATATTTACCTAAAGGATCCAGGAAGGTAAACAAATGAAAGGATTGCTCAGAGGTAATAAGATAGGGGTATCAGTTACAAATCTATAGAATAGTTTATATACTAAGTTACAAACTTTGATAAATTTCATTAATTTGCTTTGAATTATATTCATAATGACATTTACTGGTACCTCTTGTCAGAATGCTTCCTGTGTCCTTGCTCGTCCTGCATATGTCCTGCATATATTTTGGTAATAAAATGTAACCGTTAGGTGGGTACTACCACCTTATAAAAATACTGTTCAGCATTAGTGTATTTGCCAAAAAAAGTAAGACACAGAAGCATAACATCAACATTTTCTCCAAAATTCAGTCACTGTAACTCAGATTTTCCACATGGCCTAATAAACATAAGTTGTTGATTGCGAAGTATTTAACACAGGATGAACAGCTGAAGCCACCCAGATTTAACCTAGAAGATTTATATTGGGTCTTTATGAAAAAAAAAAAAGGTCTATTTTAATCCTCGGCTTTTAAAAAAATACCCTTCTTAGTTAACTGCATTTGGTTACTGACTTAAGAATTAAGTCTGCAGACTCACTGGAGAGGAACCTTTCCTGGGATAAGGTCGTCTGCATGCCTGAGAACTGCCTGATGTGAAAAACAGGATAGAAATAAAACCATGCTTTCCTTCCTATACTATGCTTGTACAAAATAAAGAAAATTCTCAAATTTTACTCAGCAAACTATCTAAAATTTGGATGAAAGAACATCAGTGTTTTCTACTACGCAGACAGTAAGAAGTGCTTCACTTTTTACACAACAGTTCTGGCTGCAGGATTATCTGCAGAAAAACACAGTAACAGACTTCAGGGAAGTGACCTGCACAATACTTAATCCCATTCAGCAGCCAGAAAGCAGGGAAGAGCCAACCCTGATGGTGTCATCCAGTGCATTAGATGTTTAAGTAAAGATCAGACCAACAACTGTAAGACATTAGAAAAGAAAAGCAGTTCGGTTTCTGTTCATTATTTGGATTCCTTAAGAAGTCGTGTAATGGAAAAATATCTTCCCACCACCGTGGTCTGTTGTGTGGATGCAATTGGTTATGGAAGAAGGTTGTGGAAGGCTGAAGATGAAGTCAAGCATGACCGTGAGTGAGTACAGGGCGTTGTAGAGTTTTTAGCTGCAGTACATCTGCTTTGCTTGAACTTGTTTGCAAAATTAGCCTCTTCAGACTATTGTTTAGGAAACTCTTCAGCTAAAATTCCATATGGCATTGATTTTGAGAAAAATCCTTGCCCACATCTGGAAGAAGCAGATTCTTCTGCGTAGAGGACAACATCTTGCTTCTGAAAGTCATGCTTTCCTTAAGGCTTTGCTGTATTCCAAGAATACATTTGCATGGGGACACCAAAATGTCAATCTTCCAGCATTTGAGAAACTCCTATGGCTGTGGAATGCTGCACTCTCTCCTCCTGACAGATCTGAAAGCAAAATCTGTTTTCCCTTTGCCTTCATTTTCAGTGTTTCAAACCCTGGGCACACTGTATCTAAAGGAAGATGAGACCTTCAGCATGAAAACACACAGACCAAACACTTGCCTAGTCATAACAAGCAAGCTGCAGAATAGACAAGGAACAGCATGCAGAAAATGGTTTCTAGAGGAAAGAGTCATCCCAAGGCTGAAAATGAATGCCCACAAGACCTGAAAAACACCCATCAGAAATCTCACCACCTCCTGATTCCTCCAAGGTGCATTTTTATGGCAATATTTTCCCTGTAACTTTCCCGGTCTCTAAGAGGACTACAGAATGCTTGAGTATGAAGCATTTCATACATGAGTATGAACTATGAGTACCTGAACATGAGTATCAACTATTTTCTCCAAGAAGCAGCATTGCTTTTAATATAATTTGGCTCTGGAAGAAGTTTGCTATTCTTATCACTGCAATAATTTGATATGAATTCTGTAAAATAAATAATAATAACAACAACAACAATAATAATAACTTTAATTAACAAAAATAGGTCATACAACATACAGGTATATTAATAATGCAACACCCATTTTAGTTGTTTCACTTATGACAACTTTTACAATCCCTCCCCATTATTTTGCTAATACCTCTCCATACATCCATACGGAAGGGACAACTCAGACTCCCAAGTCAGAAGAATTCTGTTCCTTGGAGGGCTGACATTCTTGAGAATACTTTTTCTTCTTTTATTGCTACTTTCTTCGAAAATCTTTAGGTCTAGAAATAAAACAGCCCTCTGTTAGGAAAATACACAGAATAGAATGCTTTGCACTAAGAATGCAGTAACAGCCATAGATGTTATTTCCTTATTTTGGTGTTTTACATTTGTGCTGCTGAACATTTTCTGGATAAAAACAAGTCTACTAACACATCCAAATAATTACAAACATCACGACTAGCTGGTCAAGGTGCTTCTCATGCAACGCTCCTACTTTCCTAAGCAAAACAAAAAGCTTCTTTAAATGAAGGCAGTCACACGACTTTAAACACTATTACTAATTTTTCTGCACTTCGTAAAAATGAATAATCTCTGCATAAAACGGCAAGTTATAAGTTAACAGCACAGTCCACTGCAGTGTAACTAGAATAATGAAACTTGATGATTGAAAAAAAATCTATTTCAAAAAAAAGCTTTTTTAAAGATTTGCAATTCCTTCTTCTTGGGTCACAGCTGTGGAAAACATTCAGAGCAGACCGCGTTATTTGTCACCCTCTGTAATCTCCTATGAAGTGTCTGTCACACTCTGCCTGCCACACGTCCACTGCTTGTAGAGAACACGCTGCCCCTGAACCTGCAAGGCATAAGCTCAGACCAGACAACGGTTTTTAGAAGAATGTTACGTTTCGGAGCAAGCTGCAAGCCCATGTCTCTAACAAATCCTGCAGGAAAGTTAGCCCAGTCACTTAAAAAAAAACCCAAACAGGACAGTGCAGGTCTCTGACACTGGAATGCACTGGGTGCACGTGGCACGTCCACAGCACCAACTAGCTGCTCTGTTTGCCCCAATACAACCTGTTCTAAATGCATGAAGCATTTTACTCTTGGCTTTCCTGATTGCTTGCCTCGCATACTAATTAGAAAAGGCAATGCAAATTCTGCCTCATTAGAACTCTACCAGAGACGCAATCACAAAAGTTCTGTAAACACAGCGTAAGAAAATTGGGGTGGTCAATTCTCCGTGAAGCTGAATGAAATCCAAGACAGGAGCGTATCAAAAATTGCAATCTGCCACTGTAAATCAAGTTAAAGTTATGATGTTGCCAAACTTTATTATTAATTCTGTTAATCAAGCAGAGAGCAATGGAAGTAGGGAGCTCACTAGGGAGACAGTTCAGATGGTTGCAGAGAAGGTATCAAAAAATCTCTCAATACCTCCTAGGTGTTAACTCTGTAGGTTGCAGATCAGGCATTCACCAGCTCACCAAACTGCAAAGTCACATCACTCATCATTCTGCTATAAGTCTGTAGATTTTTTTAGATTAGATTAAATGCATCATCTAAAATTTTATGATTACGTCAGGTTTAAAAAGAAAAAAAAGAACTCTGAACACAAGCTAGGGTTCAGATTGTAGTGAATTACAGAGATGTTTTTCTTTGAATTGGTATATTCTGTACTAACATTTGAACTTGTATCTTTATTACAGGAAACATCAATTTTACGTGCTGTATATGGACAAAGAAGTGCTTAAACCCAATGACATTTTTTACAATGCTTGTTTAATATTGGACTTGAACATACTCATTTGATGCCTCATGTGCACTGGAAAGATAAGTCGTGTTTCCCAGAGTCTGTGCTTGGAGTCCTTAAAAATATTCTATATTTTGTCCCTCAGTTCTCTTTCTTACATACCGTAATATAACAATACATATATGTAAAACATAATAATATTGGTGGTGCAACAGGAGAGAGAGGAATTTCAAAAACTTCTCAGCAGTCTTACTAGAAGTTGTTGCACCCATCCTGAACAGGCAGAGCTTGCTGAAGGATTTTACATATTACATTGCATCAATACAGCTGTCTTGCAGCTCATATGTATTAATCCTTTCTACAAGCCAATTTATCTTCTTTCCTACTGCTCAGCAAAACAATCTACATTTTTCCTTGCATGGCACATTCAGAACTTCAATCCAGGCTCAGAGCGCTGCAGAGTTGACAGTCTCCCAGTACTTTTCTCTGAGGCTGAAAATCCAATTAATTTATCTCTTGCTGCATCCAATCTGCATTTCAACCTTAGTGTTCGTTGTCTTAAAGGTAAATGCAGACACTGAACCCTCAGTTTGCAGTCTTACAAAGTTAATGAAGCTTAAAAGCAGAATTTTCAATGCTGAAATGCTTGTGTGAACAAATATAAAAGTTTTTAAAGTCTTTTCTAATGTCACAGTAGGCTTTTATGCCTACTGGTCCTTGGCTTTTGGAGGCCACAATCTCTGCTTTTAAAGATTCCTTAGCACTAGGAAAGCCAAGCCTTGAAAAATATTGCCTTTGGCAATAAATATTTTGTCAGAGGAAGAATATGAACCTACAAAAACCTTGTCCATTCTGGGAGAATTATGAACCTGGGAGCTGCAGTGGAGACCTGCTCATTGACAAACCACCGAGCGCAGCCGAGCGGAGCTCCCAGCGGGCCGCGCTTCCCCCTCCTCGGCAAAGTGCTGGAATGAACATGGATTTGGAACAAAGAAAATGGTATCTCCTGGCACGGATGGTTCGGCAAGGCCTCACACAGCTTCGCCGCTTATTTTTTAGTAACAGTCTTGATTTTTTTTTACTATGTATTAACAGCAGACTCCAGAAGCAGGGGATCGAGAAGGCAGAATGAGGGAACCAGCGTTTCTGAAATCATTGCTGAAAAGCGAAGTACAATCGTTCACAAAAAATATGATACATCAATCTGTGCACCAGATAGACACATGGATATGTATAGTATGTTGTGGTGTACTACCAAAATATGTTAAAAATGTTTGTCCCGCTAACATTTTACACTGCACATAAAAAGCTGTTTTAAGAGACAGTCCAGGAAGTTCTAGGAAAAACAGTCAGCAAAGTAATTAGCTGTTTAACTTCCAATTATGCTATTCCTTGCAGTGCTTCTCTCTCATAAAAAAAAAAATTTGCAAGTGGGTCAATGTAACTGGAGAGCTGGCCCAAGCAGCACACTCTCATTACAAATTTTAAATCTGAAATTTTGCCAACATTTCTCCACACTCACAGCTAATAAGAGAGGAATATGGTTGATGTAAAATTCTAACAACCCAAATTTAATTCTCACTGAACCTTACCAAACAGTAGAACATGTACAGTTCATAGAATCAGGTTTTGCTGTGGAAAAGGAAATACTCTCAGTGGCCCTCACTGCACCTGCTGATACTTTCTTTTTCCCAAAATTTTAGAGAATTAAGGTCATCCAGAGTAAACTGCCATTTAATGCAGATGACATCCCAATGTTCCTGAGCACCCGAAGAATTTTACAGCACCAACTCCTTTGCAGATGCTTCAGATGCATCTATTTTAAAACGTACTGGTTTGGGCCTGTTGTAACACGCCGAGGCAACTTACAACATGCAGCAGCGTGTGAAATTTGGAGGGACACAGAAGAAAGCATCCATGATGGCAAACTGCAAGTCTCTGCAAGCCATCTCCAAAGCCAAAGAAGAGAGACAGGGCTTCCCTGGAGAGCCTTAAGTGAAGATCCATGTTATTTTTCCTGAAATGAGCTTAAACTTCCTGAGTAAGAAAGACTGATGTTGGTGACCCCACACTTTAGGGGAATAACATGAGCAGGTTCCCTAAGAACTCCCAAAGCAGCCCAGGTTCTGCAGCTGCATTAAAAACAGGGTTGTCTAATCTAGGTTGGTTTTCTGATTTCTTCTGCTGCTATAGAAATAGAGAAAGAGAGAAAGGCAGAAAAGTGATGGAAGATGCCTTTTTGGTATTAACAGCAGACTCCAGAAGCAGGGGATCGAGAAGGCAGAATGAGGGAACCAGCGTTTCTGAAATCATTGCTGAAAAGCCAAGTATAATCGTTCACAAAAAATATGATACATCAATCTGTGCATCAGATAGACACATGGATCTGCTGCCACCAAAATATGTATAGTATGTTGTGGTGTACTACCAAAATATGTTAAAAATGTTTGTCCCGCTAACATTTTACACTGCACATAAAAAGCTGTTTTAAGAGACAGTCCAGGAAGTTCTAGGAAAAACAGTCAGCAAAGTAATTAGCTGTTTAACTTCCAATTATGCTATTCCTTGCAGTGCTTCTCTCTCATAAAAAAAAAAATTTGCAAGTGGGTCAATGTAACTGGAGAGCTGGCCCAAGCAGCACACTCTCATTACAAATTTTAAATCTGAAATTTTGCCAACATTTCTCCACACTCACAGCTAATAAGAGAGGAATATGGTTGATGTAAAATTCTAACAACCCAAATTTAATTCTCACTGAACCTTACCAAACAGTAGAACATGTACAGTTCATAGAATCAGGTTTTGCTGTGGAAAAGGAAATACTCTCAGTGGCCCTCACTGCACCTGCTGATACTTTCTTTTTCCCAAAATTTTAGAGAATTAAGGTCATCCAGAGTAAACTGCCATTTAATGCAGATGACATCCCAATGTTCCTGAGCACCCGAAGAATTTTACAGCACCAACTCCTTTGCAGATGCTTCAGATGCATCTATTTTAAAACGTACTGGTTTGGGCCTGTTGTAACACGCCGAGGCAACTTACAACATGCAGCAGCGTGTGAAATTTGGAGGGACACAGAAGAAAGCATCCATGATGGCAAACTGCAAGTCTCTGCAAGCCATCTCCAAAGCCAAAGAAGAGAGACAGGGCTTCCCTGGAGAGCCTTAAGTGAAGATCCATGTTATTTTTCCTGAAATGAGCTTAAACTTCCTGAGTAAGAAAGACTGATGTTGGTGACCCCACACTTTAGGGGAATAACATGAGCAGGTTCCCTAAGAACTCCCAAAGCAGCCCAGGTTCTGCAGCTGCATTAAAAACAGGGTTGTCTAATCTAGGTTGGTTTTCTGATTTCTTCTGCTGCTATAGAAATAGAGAAAGAGAGAAAGGCAGAAAAGTGATGGAGGATGCCTTTTTGCCAGAAGAAATGCTCATCAAGCTATGACCTCAGTCTCTGAATATCTAAGATTGCAATTGCAAATCAAAAATTCGAACACATCGATTAGTTACAGCTATGATGAGAACCACCCT